CTATCATTACGAGACAGCTTTACACTGTTTTCCCCCACTATTTATTGAACATTTTCTTTGATGAAAATATTTCGAACGATGATGATAAACTGAATCTGGCATACAACAGGAATCAGAGTTAATTACACCTTTTAAATCTAGAGGACGTAGGAAGGAAAACAACAACAGGAACACTGTCTGTGTTTTCATTTTTAATTGCTCATGAAACAAGACGCTTGACTCGAGATAATGGAGTCTGCTGAGTTCTTCCCTAACAAGCCAAGTGGTCTCCTTGGTGACACTACAAGAGCCCCAGCCCAGGAGGTCTCAGAGGAACTGAGCCCTAAACAAGACCTTGGTCCTTGCAGAGACTATGGCACTGCCTTGTTTACTGTCTTTCCCGTGTTCGATCTGCATCTACCCAAGACATTGATCTGAGCACAAGGAGCGTGGTCACCAGTTGCTGTCCATGGGATAGATCAGGGCCAGCAGAAACTTTATGGAACAGAAAAAACAAATTTCAACCTCCTTTTATAGTTTTAACACTACTTTCCAAAAACACCTTTCATACTGTAGAAGCTGTGAGGTTATATACAATCTTTGCAGATGTTTGTTTGAGGAGAGGTTGTAGAACCACGTGGAAGGACCATTCCTCTCGGCTTAGTTAGCTTCATGCTTGTGATTCAGCATCATTAAGAATAAAAAGTGATGAAACATACCGACCCCCTCTAAGAACTTGTGATAAACAACTAAAACTGATGATAAACTTCTGCAAGACATCATAGAATATGATAAATATTAAATATAAGGTTTATGAGATATTCATACTTATTATTTTATTACTATAGGGTGCTCTGTCACTAGTTAATATGTTGTTAGACTCTATCAAAAGTAATTAAATTTTAAATTGAACTGACAGTGATTCCTTTTACAATTGTAAAAACCAATGTTGTATCTGATTTAGTGCTTACTTTGTACAATTGCTGAAGCCACCTTTAAATTTGTGTGTGGTTGGAGGGTGGAAGGATGGAAAGTAAATTCTTGGTTCTATCTCTCACATGCTCCTTTTCCTTTCAGTCCACCCCGGACACCTGGACTGCTTCCCATCCTATGAGAGAGGTGCCAGGTGGAAGTGCTTTCAGGGCCTTTGTGTTGAACTTGGTTGGCAGTTCGGCTAGTGAGTCCAGATATCAGACAATAGGAGGGAACCCTTTGACCTGGCCTTCACTTCGGCAGCCCTGGCTCTCTCTTTATCTCAGGGCAGAAGAAAATGCTGGGCGTTATGCAATGATCTTATTTATTAGAACTAAAAGAGCACAGCCAACAACAGGAGGGAGAGGAAGCCCTCTTCCATTTTATCTCATTTATAGTAAGTCTGGGTTGCAGCAAAGTCACGCACAGGGTGTTCTCGAAGCCACATAATTCCTGGCACATCCTCTCTAAGGCATTCTTGTTGACCAAGCGTGCACGTGTGCATGTGTAATTTTTCTGTATATAGGTACATATGTTCTTTTCATTCATTACCATGGTTCTTAACATTTTCAGAATCTATAGCTCATTTTAAAATTCGATTGAGAGTAAGTTATAGATGTTCTCTTTAGAAAAATGTGCATGGGTACATCTTGTGAAAATTTGCATATTGTTTCCTGAAAGCCCATTTGTGTCTCAACCAACAGGCCCTCAAGAGACTAAAGGCTACATTTCCAAAGATTTTAAAATATCATGTGTTTGCTCAGCTTATATATTATGTAACATGATTTTTTTTTTCTTTAGATTGAAAACCTGAAGAATTGTGCCAGTTCCTCATCTACAACTTAATACAGAGTGGAGATTTCCTAACCCAGGTCATGTTCTGTACAACTAATCTGAGGTTTCTATGAAAGAGAGAATATACATTTAATCACAATGTGCACAGGACAGTGATGGGAGAGAAGGAATTGTAGATGGCAGGACATGCTCAACTAATGGGCACAGGAACATTCCATTTCCAGTTATTCTGGAATTGTGGGTTTTAATCCCAGAAGTGATCAGCTCATCCTGACTCTAATGCTATTATCATTTCAGCTATTAAAAATGTTACTCACGCTTGAAGACCTAGTTTACAGCATTCTTCCTCTCTGATTTTTTTTTTTTTCTGGAAGCCATCTGCAGAGTCAGTTTCTCTTTCTCCTCTGTCTTCCTGTCACATTTGTTTATAGCTATATACTTTAGAGTGCTTACTGAAGTCTCCCACACTTCAAATCACTTGTCTGTAACCCTCTGTCTCCCTCACTAGAACAGGAGGACTGGAGGAGACCTCTCAGTTTCTTGCACATAACAGGAGATCAATATGAATTTCAGGGCAGAATGCACATCGAGACAAAAGACATGAGTTCTACTCCCCATTCTGCCATTAATTATCTGTTTATTTTCAGAAAAAATACTTGACTTTCCCAAGTATCACTTTTCCTTTTTTCTGAAAAGTAGCTATGATAACAATACCCACCTCACTGGGCTACTGTGAGGATTAAATAATATAATATATGCCCTAGGATTCAGTTAAAAGATAAAAAATTAAAAAAATAACATAATACTTAAAAGACATTTAAGTGTCCAGTGTTTGGATCATAGTAAGTGTTGAATAAAGGTTAGTTCTATAGTTCGTTGAACTGAATTTTTTTATAAGAAATTTTCTTTATCTTTTGGGCATTCCTTAATATAGTTAATCAATGATGGTATATGGCCAAATAGAAAGACATTATAATTTTTTGTTTTTGACAAAATCGAAATCTCATTTATTTTCAGATCCATTTAAACAATTTTTACTTTCAATATTAAAAGTCCCAATTTGGCTGATAAAAGTTTCAGCTTTTATTCTAGCCAGCTGTAGGACACTGACAGGGTCTTTATGATACTATATGATATTGGTTTGTTTTTAACACCATCCCTAGCTCTTAAAAGACATGGATTTCTAGCCTCCAACAGATCCTAAGACCATAGAGCAAGTGATAATGAAGATAGTATCTTGAATGTCATTTTTGAGCTCTTTACTCTATTTTCTCCTTAGTCATTAAAGTAAAATGATCAGTTCAGATGGATAAGTTCACTCCTGAATAAAAACAATAGCTCACTTTATTGTAGTGACATCTTTGGATACAAAGAACAACACAGGCATTCATTCTTTAAAAAGTTTTTTAAAAAATTGTATGTGTATGTATATGTTCTAGCTAATTCCTCAAATCCCTTTCAAACTGGAATTAAGTTGGCTTGAATTTTGCTCATTTTGAGCATATGAGTCTGGACAAATGTTTGAAGGCAGACATTGTGTTTTATTCACCTTTGAATGCCTAAATCTTAGTATATCAGCTGATATATGCAATAAATAGTTATTGATTAAAAACATACAAGACTGTATGTTGCATTGAAAAGGCTGTAGAAATTGTTTGTATTGGAATGTTTATTTTTAATAAAGATATTAAAATAAAAATTATTAAAAATTATCTGTACTTTAAAATTTTAAGTAAGGAATCCATTTTTCTTAGAAAATCTTTAGTATCTGAATCAGAGAGGTTACAGTATCATTTTTTTGAGAATCAATTTTTGTTAATTATCAGTGAGTATTTAATTAATTTATTTTCTTGTTTTTATGTCTTTCTTTAACATCTGGCATATTTCTTTTTGACTTCCTGCATAAATGAGAATTCATTATGTGCTTTTGTATACTATGTGCAAAGCATGGTTTCATGACCCTTATTTTCATGTACAAATCAGTCAGTAGCAGTAGATACTCTCTTAAACTTCATTGATATGGTTTATTTGATTCTGAGAAATTAGAATCATGCAAGCATTTACATTTTATGGGAATGGACCAAGTGGCCCAACTTGTTGATTGATTTCCTTTGTCTAATAAAAGACATTTGAAAGAGTCAGAATTGACAGGAATAGAAACACCTACCTGGGGGCTCTCAGGAAAGTCATTTATTTCTCCTCTAGTCAAATGTTTATATCTTTTCTCAAGAAATAAGTTGAACTTTTGAGATGATTTAGAAAATTTAGTTTTAGTTGTTTATTTATCTTTGGTTAATTTTCAGCTCATATTCCAAAGTCATCCTGTCCCCTCTACCTGCCCACATCTATCCTGCTCCAGTTTCTGCTGACAGCCTGAAACAGCTTAGCACTGATGTGCGTGCCAGGTAGACCCCTAAGCCTTGGAATACCAGTTCTTACCTGTGCCCAGAGCTAATTGACTGGATGGGAAGAGGCTTCCTTTCATGTTACAATTGTACTTTATTGGAAATGAATGCATCCTCAAGATGCAAAATCTTGTTTAATGCAACTGTTTGATGGTGATCTGTCAGGAATTCTTTCAGCACTTAGATTTTCAGAAGATCTACTAAAATTGAGATCAATGACTCCATTGTATGATATGATTTTGTTAATGACAGGTGAAGGATCCAAAGAACTATGTTGAAAATTCTGGGAGTAATTTATTTATGATATAGGGTTTAATATCTGAGATGATATTGCAGATAAGAATTCTTCATGCAAACCTACTCATGCTGCTGAACTATTTTATAACAACAAAGTATGTCTATTATCTTTGATAACATACCTCTGACTCAGAGGCCAAGAAAATTCAGAAATGGCCTCAGAGACTCAAGTCTGAATTAGGATTGCTCCTGGGAAGGATCATAGAAGCATTGCAAGAAAAGGCTTCTACTGGCCATTGTATACAAGATAGTTTCTCCGTAGAGATAGATATTCTCAGACCACTAGAGGTTAGGCTCAGAGATCTCATCTGATTTCAGAAAATTTCAAACTTGCTTTGGAGCAAATTAAATTTTTTGGATATCTTTGTAAATTAATTTAATCTCCCTTGTGGGATATGTTGGGCCTATTTCAAACCCAGGCTCTTTGAATGTGGTCCCCATCATTGGGGCCAACCCTGAATGAAGGTATCTCTGAGGGCAAGATTCAGGCTTGAGCACTGGGCCTAAGGCAATTGACCGTGCTGTGTCTGGCTCTGTACTGGGATTCCTTACCTGATATAGGTTGGCAAGGTGGTGGTTAGTTTTGACCAAAAATGGCTGGTTCACCCCTGGGTGGTCCACATCATGTGCTGCTGCAGCCAGCAGTCCAAGCATGATGTCCAGAGGCGTGAGGAAGCTGGCGAGCTGTTAAAAAATAAAATTGGGAGATTGATTGGTGTGTTTCCAGAAACAGGTTTTCATTTGTTTTGGCTCAAACAGAATGAACCATCATGACGTTGCTCAAATCTCTCAGCCAGACCGTCACCCTCTGAAGCATTTGATGAGGTGATACTGACATGGAATCTCAGGAAAGAAAGGAAAGCAGCCAAGTAAACTCAAACTGTGTAGGCCATTCAGGTACCCCCCTCTTCCTGATGCCACTCGGTTTTGTGTTTTTGTTGTGATGTGCATTGCTTGTCAGCAACGTTGCTTCAGTGTGGGCAGGGAGAAGGCAGAACCTGAAATCAGCCTTGCTCCTCGAGAAAGCTGTAAATGAAGGAAAAAGTTGAAGCCAACCTGATGGAATATCACAAAAATCATTTGTGTGTTTCAATTATCTAATATATCTTTGCCACTTCTTTGAAAGAAGTGGGTTGAATTGCAAAATTTGCATATTTCTTCAATGTGTACTAAATAGTGGGGAAATGTATGAGAATCTGTGATTTTTTGGTTAGCTAGGAAAACAAGCAGGACTATGGGAACCTAGTACTAACTTTAAAAATATAACTGTGTGATATCGTACAACTTTTGTACTACGTAGAGATTAAAAAACAAAATCATGCATGTTTTTGGGATATTTTAGGGGGATGGGGCATCTTATCCAGCTTTGTCCTGAGAATGCCTGTTTGGCATCTGTGTATTTCGTGGTTGTTGTCAAAGCATCTGTATATTTAGTGGGATGTTAGAATGGATTGAATTAGACAGTCTCAGACTGGAATATCATTTTCCAGAGACCTTAAGAAAACTCATCCTGTACATTATACCAACTAAATTTTATATAGTTAAGAACTGCTTAGATATTGAGTAATGAGCATTATTATTATGCTTTACATTTTTAACTTTAGATTGGTTTATTGCATCAGAGCATGCTTGCTCTAAGAGGGCTTTGACATTCACAAGTTTTCTTGGGCCCTGAATCAGGATGTCCACTTGGCTCGCAGTAAATGGAACATGAGCCTTGAAGAGTTTTGATTCCATTTTTTGATCAAAAACCATGAGGTGGGAGACTTTTCCCAGTCAAGTTCAGTCAGTGCTAGTGCTATTTGTGGCAAAGGTCTAAGGCAAAAAAGAGCTAGGTCTTGAGATTGTTGAAAGTATCTAAAGTGTAGATTATCATAGAGAGAGTTGTTTCTGTCCTAAATGCAGCCTCAAAAATATAAAAAATATGAAAGAAAACCTCAGACCATTCACATCCTTTTTCATGAATATTATAAGATTTTCAGAGCTGATACTGGAACTTTAATAAAAATAATTTATATTCATATTATGAATGACCCATACCATATTTACTCAGATACTTTGTGTGATTTGGGTCCTACCAGGTAGTTTCCTTGCCAAGGTGGCCGAGGAGGCAGCTGGGTCTCGTCTTACCTTTGGCTCCTTCAGGTAGCAGTGCATGGCCTGGGTGACATCGGCTGCGTGGACCGCATTGTGATACGGGTTTTGGCTGTGGTAATCTTCTTGAACCATGACTAGGAGGCAAACAGATAACTCAATCAGCTAAAACCCAAGCAGGAGTGGTATACTAGCTCAGACTTGTTGAGTTCTTTTTGCTTAAAAATATTGGTGGCTCCAACATGTGCAGCCTGGATATCCTTTAAAAATAAATGTGGTTTGCAAGCTTGGCAGTTCTACTTGGCTGTTTTTAGCAAAGAGGAGATGGAGAGCAGAGGGGAGAAAGGCCGAAAGGATTTGCAAGGACTTGAGACTTCTCATCTCCTTCATAAATCCCCCTTTCTGCCATTCATGAAGGCTGCCATTCACAGGAAAAATAAATATGTAGGAAAAGGATAACTTCATTTCACACTATAGTTTAATTGAGTTTGCTGCCATATATGAATACTACTCCATAAACGAGGTTTCCTCTCAAAGAGCCCTAGTAGCATCAGGCTGTTGATATCCAAAGATGAATTTATCATTTGGATAACAAATACCTACCAAAGCAAATCTGGGGCTTTTTCAAGCAGAAATTCAGAGTACCACATTGATCCAACTGAGAACTTCTTGGATTTATTTCAACCTTGTTCAGGTTAAGGTATCATCTTTCATGCTCCCCCAAGTCTAATGCAAGGCTTAGAGTGCTCTTGGAACCAAGTACAGACACAGGCAAGGTAATTTTGGTTTGCTATTTATGGAAGACACTAGTCTGCTTCAGCTTTTGACCAAGGCAAAGCTTAGGTTGCAGTATATTCAGTATGTGCAAATCTAATGCTTAGATTTGCAAATGTGGCCATGTTCTTTTAACCCATGCTAGAAATCTAGATCTGGATTCTGGTGTTAATTCTGTTGGCAAGTCTGCACTCTTTACATATTCTCTGGGTACATACACATGTCCAAAGTATCTGAATCTGTATCTTTCTCTTTAGACAAATCAAAATTATTTGGCCCTATTCATGGCTGTTACTTTGCTCAATCAATTAAAATACAATTAGCTTGAGGTTACTTGTGTCTGGAAATGAGCCATGTTGTGGGTGGTTTCAGATAATTTCTATTGTGTTGCATATGCCTTTTATTCAGAAGGCTTGTTTTACAATTATATTTAAATCCTGGCTCTATCATGTATTATCTATATTGGGCAAGTTACTTAATTGCTTGTTTCCTCAGTTTCCTTCTTTATAAAATGGGGATAGCAATAGCTATGAACTCAAAGTGCTGCTGTAAGTATTAAATATGTTAACATATGCAAGTTCTTGGAAGAGCTCCCAGCAGATATAGGCACCATATAAGTGGTTGTGGCTGCTGTTATTACCATAGTCACTGTTATTTTACTCCTGATGGCATTAAGTCAGATTCTAAATTCAAAGTATAGCCACATGGCAAGTTAAAGAAGTCAGAAACATGCTAAGTGGCAGAGGAAAGTCATTTGGTGATTAGAAATGTGCCCTTGGATAATTCACTGACAGATAAATAAGAGTATGCACAGAGTCAAATAAAAGCTGAGGCTGCCTTTGGATACAGAGTAATGGCGGGGTTGGGTGGAAAGACAGTGGTCTTGCAAGTCAGACGGACCTAGTCTTGGACTTAGGTTCTGCCACTCACTAGCTGTTGGCCTTGGATACGAAATGAAATCTCTGTGTACTTCTCTTTAACTATGGATTAAATGATAGCATACGATAGCATACGACTTGCAGATTTGTTCAAATGGTTAGAAATGACTTGCATAAAGTACCCTGCTTATAGTAGGTGCTAAGTAAATGATAGTTATTATTTTTTAAAAAGGCTATTGAAGATTTTTAACAATTCATGTTCTGATTAGAATTATTTGAGGCATATCCTATTGGGGGTTTGTTAATATATGAGCAGATCCATTTTTTCTTTGACAGTTACATGTTCTTAATAGTTTTCTTTATATAGACTTTATTATAAACATAACTACAGTTGACCCTTGAACAACATAGGTTTGAACTGTGTGCATCCACTTATACTCTTCTGCCTCTGCCACCCCTGAGACAGCAAGACCAATCTCTCCTCTTCTTCCTCTTCCTCAGCCTACCCAGTGTGAAGATGATGACGATGAAGAACTTTTTGATGATCCACTTCCACTTCATGAATAGCAAATATATTTTCTCTTCCTTATGATTTCTTAAATAACATTTTCTTTTCTCTATCTTACTTTATAACAAGAATACAGCATGTAATACATATAACATACAAAATATGTATTAATTGAGTTTTTGTTATTGGTAAGGCTTCCAGTCAACAGTAGGCTGTTAGTGGTTAAGTTTTTTGGGAGTCAAAAGTTATACATGGATTTTGACTCTGTGGGGGGTTGGCATCCCTAGCCCCTGCATTGCTCAAAGGTCAACTATAATCAAGTAAACAATTTTTCAATGATTTAAGATAGACAAACCATATTTTAAAATTTAGATGAGATTATTTAAGATTAATTTGAGGTCTTCATCCACCATGTTCTGGTTCTCGCCAGTTTATATTAAAGAGTGTTATGCATTGCCATTGTTCTTGGGAATAGGGGTAGGAATATGGAAAAAAGGACTTACCTAAAAATCTGTGTAAGGTCACCATATCTAACTTGAAATGGTGAATGAGTCCATGGGTGTTGAAGAGGTGGCATAGCAGTGTTACCAGGCTGTTTCCTATAGGAAAACAGTCACCTGCTTTAACTCATTTTTATTATGACAGAAATAGCAAGATTTCTAATAAGATCCAAAGTCTCTGTAATTAGATTTGAAATTAGATGGATATAGAGGATATCATTACTATGATCTAATTTTAGTTTTTTTCTTATTGTACAAGTAAAATTAGCTCTGACTTTCTCCCTATACCAAAAGCAATGAAAACATTAAGAGTTAGAAGGAATCTGTCTATTGAGCTGTCAGAGATATACACATGTGTGTATATATATATATTTTTTAAACGCAGTTAATGGCCACTTGAAATATGCCTTAAGTCACTTCTAATTGACTCTTCCATTTACAAAGGTATCTAAACCACCATATTGCTTAATAGTCATAGTCTATTCTTCCTATGGAAGATCACTCAAGAAGAGATTTGATAGAACTCAAGCCAGCAGAGAGGCAAAATTGAAGCTACAATAACTTGTAAGCATTCAAGAAATATTGTTTATTTATGAATACTGATTTCAATTTTAAAAGTGCAGACATATGAATGAATGGAATAGAATAGAGAACCCAGAAATAAATCCATGCATTTTTTGCCAACTGATTTTTAACAAAGGCATCAAAAACACACTGGGGAAAGAACAGTCTCTTCAATAAATGGTGCTGAGAAAACTGGATATCCACATACAGAAGAATGAAACTAGAACTCTCTCCCTTACCATATACAAAAACCTACATGGATCAAAGACTTAAATGTAAGACCTGAAAACTATGAAACTACTAGAAGAAAAAATGTAGGGGAATTGAAATTAGTTAGGTGGAAATACAATTGATTTCTCCCTCCCAGTTTTGCAGCTATATAAACTCATTTCAGCATTTCTTATATATGTGTAGCATATATTTCATATATATGTGTGATTCTTTGAATTCTCCTTTGAATTAGTTGTAGCATCTTACTGGGTCTCTAATTAATTTAGTTAAATAAAATCTTTGACATGTGTTCATTTCATATTTCTATGAGAGTCATAATTATACTCTCTTTTAAACAAATACCATTTAAATGGCTCTTTTGTTCATGGGTAACTTCATTTGCCATTACCCATTTCGCAATTGATTTGTGCAAAGCGATATGCAAGGTTATGGGATTCCTCCCTACATGGTAGACCAGCTAGCCTTCTGCAGCGGAAAAGTCCATTTCATGGTCTTAGGCATGTTTCTCTCAACGGCACATTGTTTGCCAAGTAACAGAATGGCAAGAAAAGTATCTGTAATGACTTAAAGCTAAAGCTTGGTAGATGATGGGAACACACAAACAAGGACAGCATGTGATGTCTTTCACCGGCTCCCGAAGCTTACCAGCATTTGTTTAATGGGCAGATGAAAATATAAGAAGGCTTTATTATTTTCTCAAGGAAGGCCTTTATAAGCACAAAAATTTAAAAAGTGAAACCAATGGAAATGTTTACTTTCTCCTTCATTTGCAGCCTAAGCTTTTACATTCTCTCCTCAGCAATTGTTTTCTTATGATGACGTCAAACATATTTAAGCAACACCCGCAACGGGGCAGACTCAGATCACTTAATAAAACTGCACAAGCACCCTGCCCTGTAAAAGTCAGGACTGATCAGATGTATTTTTATGTTTCTAGTTTTTCATCAACCAACAATAAGCTCCCTACTTTTGGATGTGGCCAAAGTATTTTGTAGGAAAAGAATCTAATCTGTGTTTTCCAAATTCCTTTGGGATCATCAAGGTCGTTAGGAAACTATCCTAAGATTCTAAGGCTAAATTCAGTCCTTATTCTTCATCTGGATTAATTTTCTCTTGCCCTGGTTGTTCTTCAGTAGCTGTAGATTTATGTAAGTGGGGAAAGGAGGAAAAAAAAAAAAGAATGACAGTGTTTAAAAATAAATTTTGTTTTTCATGCAATTAATCCCACTTTATGGTGTATATTTTAGTGAAAATTCTTTTGGGTAACTTACCATTTGTCAAGCGATCAAACAAGAAAATGTCAAAATCCCACATTCCCACTTTGGAGAGCATATGCTGAAAAGACAAACAAAAAACAGCACTCAAATGAATCATATCGGAGACTCAAACATTTACTTTGAGACATAGTGAATTAAACAATCCTATCTGTCTATGTACCACTGAATGGCTTCCCTGTGTTCTACGATAAAATCCCAATGCTTCAGCATGACACACAAAGACCTTCACAGCGTGTCAGAAAAATGAAGGGATAATAGGTTATTTCCGAGGTCTAGGTTGAGTGAGTTTTTTTTTTTTCCCCCAAATCACATAATACTAGAGGCAGACTCAAAGCTTGACCTCTGATATCCAGACTTCCAGCTTACTGTTCTGTCAACATCTCAACATCACTCAAGATGTGGCTGCCTACAAGAGAGACACCACCATGAATGCTCTCTCAGTGACATTCCAATGCTGGGGGAGCTTAGTCTTGTCCTCCTCTCAACAGACAAACAAACAAACGTTCACCCAACTCATACCTTCAGTTGTTAGGAGTGATTTCCCCCCTGCTTTTGTAGACCTAATATTGGGAGTTAGTTTTCTCACATTATACTTGCTGCTCATTTCTTAATGGCATATGTTAGTAAAATATATTTCTTAGTAAATTAAAATGCTGCCTGTAACTGTTGAAACTAGGGCAGTTTATTCCTGAAATTTAAATTCCATTGGCAGTTTGGGCTAGAGATAATCATAAACTTTTAAAAATATTGTCACATATTAATTTCCACTCTCACTCAGATCAGTGTATCCTAAATGTAATTGTACAATTATTAAAAATTATTTGAATGAATAAAAAATTATAAAAAGGATAATGCACTGTATTAACAGCCTAAATGGAATTGAGGTGATAATTTTTGGGTTATTTTCAGTGTAGCTATTACAATGAGATAATTTAATTGATTCAAAAATTTAGTTATTCCCTCATTAGTAATCTACCAGTCCAAAATTTTACTTTAGTGTTGTGCAAATCTGTTTTACACATTTATAAAAATGAAAATAGTGAGCATGTGCTAGGCATGAGTCTATGAAGCATATAAACATGGTTTACCTCATTGTCCTTACAGTACCCTTATGAAGAGGGTGTTTCTATTAATTTTCTTTCTTTTTTTTTTTTTTTTTGAGGCAGGGTCTCACTCTGTCACCCAGGCTGGAGTGCAGAGGTGTGATCATAGCTCACTGCAGCCTTGACTTCCTGGGCTCAAGCGATCCTCTTGCCTCAGCCTCCCAAGCAGCTGGGACTACAGTTGTGCACCACCACACCTGGCTAACTTTTTTGGTTTTTCATTTAAACAATTTTTTTTGAGAGACGGGGTCTCACTATTGTTGCTCAGGTTGGCTTGAACTTCTGGCCTTAAGTGATCCTCCCGCCTCAGCCTCCCAAAGTGCTGGGATTACAGGCGAGAGCCACCACACTCAGCCAACTTTGTTTTCTACTTGAGGAAAAAGTCTTGAGGTGTTGAATAACTAGCCTGAGTCACAGAGCTCCTCAGTGGCAGAGTAAAACTCAAACCCAGGGGGTTTCAGCTGAGGCAATGCTCGTGGCCACTGGCCCAGTGTGAGGAGACAGGGGGTGGTCAGCTTACCCTTGCTTGTCCAAGGTAGTCTTCATCCAGCAGGTGGAGAGGGGCTTGTGGTATAATCCCACGAAGCAGCCTCGATGTATGGAAGTATCTTTGAAAGCTTAATAGTCTTTTCACCTTTTTCTTGGTGCCAATTTCCCCTGAGTGTGTTGTACCTGTGGAAAGTCATCAAACAGAGAAGTTTATATATTTAAAAGAGAGCCTATTTCCTACACAATCTAAAAACATAATGTATTAAAAAGGTGAGAACAATTTTAAAGGCCCTCAATACTTTCTTAAATATGGTCTGTTTTACTCTACATTTAAAATCCTTCTAGATCATAAATATTTCTTATATATCATATTTATTAAAATATCAAGATAGTCCAGAATATAATTTTGGAAGACATGAAATATATAAATTAAAAACTTCATTTTCTCGTTAATGATGCTGCTTTGCTTAGTAAGTTCAAATTCACGCACTTCTGCATGAATTTGAAATGAGCAGATACACTTTTTTTCTGCTATAGTGGAAATGAGGCTCAAAACTTTAGACCAAGTTCTCATCCAACACTCTCCCTTGTCTGATGAACTCCTTCACTTGAATTAGAAGAGTTGTGAACACACCAGTTTACACATGAGGAAAATGTTTCCTAATGTCCCAGGAACATCGTTGGCAAAGGAATCCACAATCTCGCACAGAAGCTACCCAGAGGCCCCTGACAAGAAGCAGAGAGGGCGTTTACTTTGTAATGGAGTGTATGCTCTTTTACTGGTGGCCGTAGAAGTCTGATCTTGTCAGTAGAGATTATTTTAGCGCCCATTCCACATATGCCTTTCAAAATTTGTTGACATCATGGTGATTGTCCAGAAATACCCCAAGCACATTATGTGAATGTCTGTCAAGGTATGTTTTATTTCTGCTAAAATTATATGAATCACTCTGGGGCCACATAAGTGACATCTGCTGCCAATTTTGAAGGTAGAGTCAATTTGACAGTGTGGCAGGAAAATGTACAGCTTATATATAAAGTAATTTTGGTTTCTGTCATAGCTTCTCCCACCTCCCCTTCTCTCCTGTGGAACTCAAGATCACAAGAGATGGCAGAGGCAGCGGAAACCATGGGCAGTGCCTGGTCACAGAGAGAGACCAAAATCAGTTCATTGTCTGGGTTGTATTATGCAGAGAAAGACATAATTCAGGGCAGGCAAAACTTACTGTTCTCTGGAAATGTTGTCTGATTAAAATCATTTTTATTTTTAAAATGAATCTGGATTTCACATGTAGAAAGAGGCAAATGAGTACATATGGAGATGAGTGGACTATAGCTGAAGTGGTGTTTAGGCACACCTCAGTATTAACAATGATACATGGTGGACTCCAATCTACCAGTGGATTCTCACCCATTTCCATGCATTTATTAAATCAAAGTATAGGATAAAGTGGTTCATTCATTTATTAAAAAAAATTGAGTGCCTATTATAGGACTGGCACTGTTCTAGATGTTTGGTGAGATCCTATTGTTCTAGATCCTTCAGTGAGCAAAACCAAGATTCCCACCCTCATGGAGCTACCCTCCAGCAGAGAGATACAACTAATAAACAATAAACACAAAAAAAGTAGATTATAAAATGTTAGAAGGTGATACATGGTGGGTCGGGGGAAGGAAAGCAGGGAACAGGGAATCTGGAGTTCTGTGTTGAGGGGAGTCAGTGTTGGCTTCATGAGAGGGGATGATCTTATCAAAACCTGGAGGAGACAAGGGAGTTGGCTAAGCAGATATCTGGGGAAATCCTTTCCACACAGAGGAACCAGCCTGAATAACACCAAGAGTGGGGACATGCCTGGGGTGCTGGCATGCAGAAGGAGCAGCAAGAATTTAGTATGGATGGAGAGGAGAGAAAAGGGGAGAGTGAGTGATGAGGTCTTAAAGGGGCATGAAAATTATATAGGGCTCAGTAGGTCATTGTACTGGCTTTAGGGAAATGTGGGGCCACTGCAATGTTTTGAGCAGAAAAGCGATATGAACACACTTCCATTTTAAAAGGGTCATCCTGGCTTCTGTATTAAGAACAGATTGTAGGAGCGAGGTTTAAGAGGCTGTTAAGAAACATTCTAGGCAAGGGTAATGGCTGCTCCCATCATGGAGAGAGCAGTGGAAATGGTATGATTTCAAATATACTTTGACTACCTGCAAGTTTTTGGCCTGGAGAACTGGGAGAAGAACTGAGCTGCTGTCACCTGAGACAGGAAAGGCTGGAGTGGTTCGGTTTTGTATATGTTGAATTTAGATGTCTACTGGACATTCAGGCAAAGATGTTGAGTAGAAATAAGTAGATCTAAAATGCAGACTTGAGGGAGATGTTGGGTTAGAGATTGAAGTTTGACAGTTGTCAGATGCGATTGCCTATGGAGGAAGTGTAGATACAGGTGAGAAAAGGATAGAAGTTTGAGTTCCTAAGTACCTTAACTTTAGAAGGGTACAGAGAAGAGGAGGGAAAATTTAGACTGAGAAAGAGTATGCCGTGAGGACAAAGGAAGGAAGACCAAGACAGCACATTTCCTGGGAGCTTGGTGAAGATAGTGTAGCAAAGGAGGAAGGCGTGATCATCAGAATCGAATGCTGCTAATGGGTTAGGGACAATGAAGACAGAAGTGCTGAACTGTGTACAGCACTTAAAGAGAACACATTTTATTGTATGCCTAGAAACACCACCACCCAGGTAGTACGGAATGTATCTAGCACCCAGATTTAGTTTTTTAAAGATGATTTCTCCCTAAAAGAAACCAGATCATCTTGGTGGAATGGCCAGTCCTAGGACTGAGATAGGAAATGTACAAGGTGGATGATAACATTTTGTTATGCCAGAAAATAAGAGAGAGCTCAAAAAATGATGGAATCATTAAAAATGACAAAGAAGACAAGTTCAAGGGGTCCTTCTGAGCAAATATGGGAACACTTGAGCCTCCAAATAAGAAATGGAAGAATGGATCATAAACCATTGGAGCAAATAAATAAATAAGGAGAAAGGAAATCTCTTCCTTGCAGAATGTGTCAGCCAATACATGTGGAAGAAATGATAGAGCTGAAAAATTATCATTTTGTAGGCAACATAGTAATAACTGATTGAGGTCAGGATGATTAATTGATACTAAAATTATTAAATCAAAGTTTAAAAAGGAGCAAGATAATTACATTATATTCAAGCATTGCCCACAGAGGACTTATTAATTGGAGAAGGAAAAATGGGTAGTTATGTTAGTAGAAAATTGCAGTAGGGGGTACCACCTTTACTAAATAATCAAAGTTAACACCACTAATAATGGGAGAAACTGACATCATGCACTTCCTGGCATAATGCTTTGAGGACACAACATCATGTGTGTAGTGTTCTTGCCCAAAATGCACATCTGACTCCAATAAAGAGGAAACATCAGAAAAACCCAAGTCGAAGGACACACTAAAAACCAATCAGCCTTTATTCTTAAAAATGTCACTATCATGAAAGACAAAGATAGCCTCAAGTATTGTTTCATAATAATAGATACAAAAGAATGCACTAAATGCAGTACATGTCCCTGAATTGGATTTTGGATCAGAGAAAAATTTCCATAAATGACGTTATTAGGACAATTAGTGAAATTTGGATATGGACTTATGTATGAGATAATAGTATTGTATCTCTAAATTTCTTGAATTTGATAATTGAACTATGGTTACACAAAAGAATACTCTTGTTCTGAGAAAATACATGCTGAAATATTTAACGATAAAGGGTATGATGTAAGCTGGGAGTGGTGGCTCACGCCTGTAATCTTAGCACTCTGGGTGGCCGAGGCAGGAGGATCATTTGAGCTCAGGAGTTCAAGACCAGCCTGAGCAAGAGCAAGATCCCGTCTCTACTAAAAAATAGAAAGAAAGTAGCTGGACAACTAAATATATATAGAAAAAAGTAGTCGGGCATGGTGGCACATGCCTGTAGTCCCAGTTACTTGAGAGGCTGAGGCAGAAGGATTGCTTGAGCCCAGGAATTTGAGGTTGCTGTGAGCTACACTGACACCATGGCACTCACTCTAGCCTGGGCAACAAAGTGAGACACTGTCTCAAAAAAAAAAAGAAAGAAAGAAAGAAAGAAAGAAAAACAGTGTGATGAATAAAACAAATTCTTATGTGGTTAAGAAAAAAATATATATTAGTAGCAGTAAGGCAAATACTGCAAAATATAATAAATGATACATGTGGGGAAAGAGTATATGAGTGTTTTATTCTTACAAATCTTCTATACATTTGAAATTGTTTTATAATAAAACATTTAAGAACAGAGAAATTTGAAACATCAAGTATAGACAACTTCTTCAGGAGTTTTGCTACATAGGAGAGTAAAGAAATGTGATAGCTATATATAGAATGAAATAAATTCTTTCAATAAATGAAATCAATTATTCCTGTGTTATATGTAAAGCAAATCTTAAAGGAAATATTCATATAATGATCTATTCCTTTTTAAATATTTTATGAAAATTCCCATTCTAAAATACCAAATTTCCTATGTAGCTGTGAATATGCCTGCATTTACATAATAGAATTAGAAGCAAGCAAGATAACACTGAATGATGGAAAAATGCCACAAACATAGCCAATTGAAATTACGGATTATTTCTTCTTAAACTTCCATTTAGCTGGAAAGTATAATAGTTTTAGCAGACTCGTAGTTAAGATGATGATATTGGAATTAAGTTGCATATGATAAATATAGATGATAGAAAATAATGGTTACTATTCACTAATTTTGATGAAAATATTACTAAACTAATGATGCTATGAGCTGGAGATATTACGTTTAGATTTAGATTCATTTTTATCATTAAACCAAAGAAGAAAACAGCAAGACTCCCCACCTATTTTTTCCTACCCTGTAGTCAAATGGATAATAGTCCACCAAATGACAGAATGCAGATCTCTTTTGATCTTTATTTAGATTTTTGATATTTTATTTCTCATGACTTTTTTGGTTTTAATTTAGATTTTTAAAAATATTGCATTAAGATATGATAAATCTTGATTACTGAGTTATTTGATATCCCCTTAATTTTGAGCCTAAAGCTAGTGCTTCATTCCCCTTACCCTAGAGTGGCCTGTCTTGTATCTTCTGAGCATAAACTCAGACAATGAAA